TCTTCACCCTCCCCCCCCCCACCCGTCCGCGTTGGTTCCGCTCCAAAAATGGTGAGATTGACAACTTACCTCGTACCACGACAACTATACTTCAGGGACTTCTACCCACGGCTCATGTTGCGTCTGCTTGAGTCCTAATGCGACCGCGTATTCAGCCCGTCAATCTGTAGCTACAAATCCCCGACCTCCTCTACGACTCCCTTCCTTAAGTTGCCGCATGGCTGCGGCAACGCGTTTAGTCCACGAGAGATCAGAAGTATGAATTAACCCGTCATTCCGGCTCAATTTCAACAAACACCAAAACTCGTAATTTCGGATACGCCGGTGATCTTGCTACCAACGGGCGACCTTTGTTCCAAGAGTTTCATGGGTTATCTGTTCAGCGCTGAGTCCAGTGAAATGCGTTTGTCTTCCTTGAGATTTCAAGCACAATGGCTTCAATATCATCACACTATTGACGATTCGTGAGGGGGCACATTACGACGCGTCCTGCCATTTCAGAGACATGATCAAACCTTCAACGCTTCTTCCACTGTAAGAACGCGCCTAGTTCACAATGTTACAACGCCGTGAACTGTAGAGCACACACTGGATATTTTCACTCAATGTTTGCCCAGGGTCCGAAGTCTTCTGTTTCAAGCCCAACGAATTTTCTCGTTTTCTTGGCTGATACGATAACTTGGACTTCAACTCTCACCAACCGAGACGACATCAGACGGATGGATGGATGCGCTTCCACGCCTATCGTTTTATGAGTAAACCATCAACGCCACCGAGGTCAAACCAAACGCACCAAAAGCGGTTATATTTTTCACGACACCTGTCACAAGTTGACCGACTTCCAATGTATTGAGAACTTCTGATCGCTTTTGGACAAGTTCAGTTTCCAACCATGCACGACGAGATAAAACAATGTTATGCCGCCGCTTGCTCAGGCTGATAACTTTCATATCCAGCGTCTGTCCTACATACTGCTCAAGGTTTTGGATAGGACGCAATTCAACTTGTGAAGCGGGTTAAAAGCCGCGTAGGGATCCGACGCTCACTCGCAATCCACCCTTAATCCGTTCAGTGATATGGCCCTGCAGCGGGGCACCGGTCTCATGCGCAGTCGCTATCTCGTCCCAAATGAGCGTTTGGTCGGCGATTTTCTTTGAAAGGACTATTTGTCCTTCGGAATCCTCGCGACGCACGATATAGACATCGATTTCATCGCCAGCCTGTACAGCAGGTGCCCCCTCTTGCCCAGGCTCAAATTCCGATGCGGGGATATAGCCTTCAGATTTAAAGCCGATATCAATCATTACCTCATCACGATTGACATCTACGACAACACCTTTAACAATCTCTCCGTCCGTAAACGCCTTTATCGAATTATCATACGCTTCCTCAAGAGATTCCGGACTCATCGGTTCCGACAACTCTTCCGGTGCAGCCGCTGCCTCTTCAGGCGCGGTATCATCGGTAAGCGTTGCTGCTTCTTCAGTATCAGCATCACTCGCGATTACTTCTGCCGCCTCTTCAGACGCTGTATCATCGGTGAGCGTTGTTGTTTCCTCAGAATCAGTATCACTCGCGATTACTTCTACCGCCTCTTCGGGGGTAGTCTCATCAGCTTGCTTAGAATCAGTATCGCCAGCAGGCACTTGCTCTTCACTACCCGTGACTTCTTCTTGACCCTCAACGCCTGCATCGGTTGCTGAAGCTGCTTGCACAGCTTCTGGAGTCTCCGTCTCGCTCACTACTTCCTGATTCACGTCAGTGATTCTTCAGCTGAGTGTTTTTCTTCTTCCACATCAACAGTGGACACATTTGTATTTGCCTGTTCGTTGTTCATTAAGATACCTGGTCCATTTAAAAACGCGTGACCGCGTTAATCCGCCAGTTCCTCCTTATATTCAAAGTGCTTTTAACACTTTCAAATCGGTTAAGCAGTAGTATATCATAAATATATAAAGAAAAGCAACAAGAATTTTCTTCATCGGCACAATTTAATCTTTGGATAGACTTCCCACCGGGCAAATCTTTCTAATTCGCGAATCAACCAAAGAGGGTGTGTAAATATTTTGTCAAAAGCAGTGCGTGGATACAGATAGCGTTTTTTGCGTTTGCGTTTTGCGTTTTGCCTCTTTTTCGACGCAGAACGCAAAATGTGTGCGTTATCAAGCCAGTGGTCCCGCGGTTTCTTTCATCGAAGTTTGCGTTTTTTTGCGTTTGCTACAATCTGTGTTATTTCTTCGGAGGCTCTCCGGCGTAGTGCTTTTATAGGGGTTCTGTGTGTCTCCTTGGGTTTTCTACTTCTGCCTGGGGCGGATATGAACCTTTTGAGAACGCAAAATCTGAGAACCCTCTACATTATACTTATTATAATTATAGTGTATTTTTGTAGGAATGTCAAATTAATTTTCAAAAGAGGCCCCGGGTTGAACGCAAGTGACACCGAACCTTCAAAACGGATGCCTTTGTTCTGTATGAAGATTAGAGATTCAATTGGGTAATGCGGGTGTTGATTGTCTGAAGCGCGGCTCTACCGGTTACTGGAAAGGGGATTCACAGACTTAGAGGATTTGCGGGATTAGAAGGGTGTGTAAGTCAAAAGTGTAGAACTGAAGGGGTTATGATCAGGGATACATCGGGGTTACAAATCCGTCCGCAAGAGAAAGGGAGCACTTAGTGCCAAAAACTTTACACACCCAACCAAAGAATTTTATTTGACTTTTTTATCGATTTGCGATAAGATTAAAATGTTCCTAGCACCCTAACCCAGGTCGCTACCTTTAAAAGTTGTTACTTTCATCTTGGTTTATTTCTTGGGTTATGTTATTATTACCATATAAAGATATTATTATTAAATAGCTTTCAATGTAAATAATGTTGTCTTTCTACGGTTTTAGGAATTGAATCAGCGTTGGTTGCTCAGATGGCAACTTAGGTTACCGTAACTATCGTAAAATATGAAAATACTTGGACATTCCAATAAACAAACAGCAGGACCACTCCACCCTTCGTTGGCACGGAGACCCACCTATTCGTCACCGGCAATGGGCTTGTAACCTCGCCAATCTTCTGATGTATAGCTAAATGTTATATCCATCGTTTCCCTTGCTTTTTGTCCAATGAAAGCATGTTTGATTACTTGCTTTGGCGGGTCGTGGGAAAGTAGAATAACGTGCATTGACGTTCTAAAAAGGTTATGATATAAGTGGTAGAACCTACCTTTTTGGAGGTCTTCCATGAAACCAAAAGAGTATACGCAAAAAAAACGGAGAAAAGCACCATGGTTAAAAATGGGTCGGTTACCGCCTCATGGCGCCGTTGTGTGCTCTGGGGGAAGTGTTGCGGGTTCGTGAGGTAGTGTCCGCCTCCATGACCGGTGAATATCGGGCAGAAACAGGTTGTGTATCGTCGACAGACAGTTAGTTTGTTAGGGACATTGCTATCGGGTGCGGAGACGGTGTCTGATTCCAACCAAAGTCGCGCGGATCGTGGCTGTTAGGTGGCTTGGCTACCACAAAGATGTGCGGATGCGTCGGTGCTCCAGCAGACGTTAGATGCCTCATCAACGGATGGCGACTGTTGCTTCTCTTGAATCTGCTTTAGAGCGGAGTGCGTCTCAAACACAGGTCCGGGCGTCGTCCGGGCTGTCTTTGCTTGAAGCTGAGATCAAGATGAGATAGGTGTGGATATAGACCTCTCGCGTATCCTTGCCGAGTGGCAAGCCTGCCGAGGGTTCAGAGAGAAGGATATGTCGCGAAAAGCCGAGATACTATACGCGTCTGTTGCACGGGGTAGTCTGCGGAGACACCCAGAGCCCTGTTTACGCAGGCGTTATACCCTCGGTAAAACTAAACAGCAGTGGCTGTTTTCAGCCGAATGCTCGGCAAACTGAGATGTGTTGACGCTGGATAGCATTGAGAAACGGAGCCGGTTCGGCTTCGCTTTGATGCCGGATTTGGCACGGATGCCATAGCAATTATGCCTTATGGCGGGGGTATCGCCTCATCGGGAAGATGTATAAACTCCCGCCGGATCCAAAAGTTAGCGGCACCCCATGGAGGAGTGGGTGTCTGTGCCAACGTCGAAAGGCGTCAAGGGTAGAGAAGCAGGGTGGGTTCAACAACCGCATCGGTATGCGAGACGGACGGTTCAAGTCGCTGTGAGAACACCGAAAAAAGATGGCACTTGGAGTTATGCCGTGTTGGTTTCAACCGACACGACCGCAACGCTTGAAGAACTGCTGCTTGAATATGACAAACGCAGTGGGGCCCCGGAGAACTCTTTCGCCCAAGATTATCAAGCCCTCTCTTTGCGAAAATACAGAAAGACAGGATTTATCGCACAGCAAGTTTTGCTTTTACTCGCAGAACTCGCCCATAACCTGATGATTTGGATGAAAGCGTGGTTCATAGAGGCGGTTAAGATACCTGAAGGGGCCTCGGAGCCAACCGAAAACGCACACCGAAAGGCAACGGAGATGCTTCAAAGCCGAGGACTGAAACGGTTGAGGCGAGACATCTTGGCGATCCCAGGAAAAATCTGCTTCGACGGTAAGAAGGTCGTTGGCATACGGATCAACCCTTTATATCCCTTCATACAGCACGTCTCCACTGCTACCAAGGCACTTTTCCAACAGTATGACATACTTGTGTTAATGGACAAAATGTAGGTAGTTTCGATCTACGAGAGGTGATTTCTATGGATTCGACAAAATTAATGAAACTCCGGGAGGAGTCTGGAATCAAAATCCTTGAGATAAAAACAGACTTGAGTAGTTACGCAGCATCTGATCTACGGAAGGTGCTTGAGGATTTATTAGCAGAAAAAGTCGAGAGAGTTGTTGTCAATCTCAGTCAGGTGAGTCATATTAACAGTACTGCTGTGGGTGCCCTCGTGGGTGTTGCAAAACGGCTTCGCCAAAACGGTGGCGACCTTAAGATTTGCGCGCTCGCTGATAACCTAACACGCACTTTCAATCTGATCGGCGCTTCCAGTGTCGTCGAAATCTATGAGTCAGAAAACAGTGCACTTGCCGCATTTTAAAACGAACAGATTTTAGCACATGGCAAAAGTAGACATTAAACTTAAAATTCCGAGTGCTGTCTTCTATATAGAACCTATCCGGGCATTTATTGGAAACCTCGCACAAAACCTCGGATTCTCCAGAAAACGCGTGGCAGACATCCAACTTGTGCTCGATGAAATCTGCAGCAACGCAATACATCACGGTTCGGTCGATGCCACGGTTGGCGTTAAATTACGAATCAGGATTGACACGCATTCGCTTGAGATTTTAGTGAGAGATACCGGTTCGCCACATAGGGGGGAAAAAAGTTGGTTGACACACAAAAGGCTCTCGGAAATTGAAGAGAATCGTTCTCCAAGCAATGAAAGTGGACACGGTATTTTCATCGCTAAATCGCTCGCGGATACCCACGAGATGCATCCCAACTCGGCAGGTGGAACCGATGTTCGAGTCGTTTTTGGTCTCCTAAAACCCAGCGACCTTAAACTTTAGTTCTCCCCCGCAACCTCAATAGCAATAAGCGTTAGATCGTCTTCTTTAGGACAGGTCTCGGTAAAGACATCAATAGCCTCCGAGATGTTAGCGATGAGTTTCGCAGCAGACTGTTCTGTACAAGCAGACACTAATTTTTGGAGACGTTCTACCGTAAATTCTTCACCTTGCGGGTTTTTCACTTCATAAGCACCGTCTGTATAGAGAAACATTTTACTCGACAGGGTCGAATGGATAATGTATGGTTTCATAAACCGATTCCTGCCAAATACCCAGTCCGTTTCCTGTGTTCTTATCACCAATAGTGTCGTACGTCTGTCGGTCTGTATTGTACAAAAATGGGAATGAATGCCCGGCATTTGCACAGGTGAGCTCACCTTTGTCGAGATCAATGATACCGCAGAAGGCGGTTGCAAACATAAACAACCGTGAACTAATCAAATCATTAAAACGAGTATTTAGTATTTCAAGCAGGTATCCTGGATTATCCACAACCTGTTGCTGGAATTCCGCCAAAACCGTTTTAATAAAAACTGTTACGAACGCAGCTGAAACGCCGTGTCCCATAACATCAGAAATAAAAACGCCGAGACGGTTCGGCGCGACTTCCCATATATCAAAGAAATCTCCACCGACTGCCATTTCAGGACAGCAACGCGAAGCGATACGAAATCCGGATAATTCCAATACCCCATTCTGCGGAATTAGTATTTCCTGAATGCTCCGTGCCATTTGGAGCTCTTCTTCTAAACGAGCGTTATATTTTGCGAGCGTGTCCTGGTACTGTTTAATTCGTAGTAGGGATCGGACCCGTGCCAGCACTTCCAAACTATCAAAAGGCTTCTCAATAAAATCGTCGGCACCTGCTTCAATGGACTTAATTCGATTTTCACGTGTATCGCGTAGCGCGGTTATCATCACAATCGGAATAAACTCAGTCGCTTCATTTGTTCGAATTTGTTTAACAACTTCAAAACCGTCCATTCTCGGCATATTGATATCCAATAAGATGAGATCTGGCATCTCTTTCTCGACAACATCAAGTGCCTCAAGTCCATCTGCGGCTGTATAAACCGTATACCCTCGCGCCTTGAGTTGAATTTGGAGAATTTTGACATTTCTCGGTTCATCATCAACAACAAGGATTTTAGCGGCTTCTTGCAGTTCAGAAGTCATTTGACACCCCCCACAGCTAAAGCAGTGGGATTCCTCCGTTCTTGTTTCATAGTTTATTGCCTTCACTTGTGAAGGACTTACACAAACTCCACAAGCGTTTTAACTCTCCGTATGCCCTACGGCGAGGTTCTTTAGATTTATAGCAGCGTTTTGGTCTCTGTCTATAGAGATACCACATGCGCTACATTGATAGTGTCTATCTGAAAGTGTAAGCGTTTCTTTCTTATGTCCACAGTTACTACAAGTTTTACTTGAAGCATAGAATTGTGAGGCTTCTTCAACAGGTATACCGAATACTTCTGCTTTGGATTTGAGCATAGCAAGAAAACCACCTAACGCACTATCTGATAACGCTTTGGCAAGGTTTTTGTTCTTAAGCATGTTTGTAATCTTGAGCGTTTCTATTCCAATCACGCTTGCCATATTGACGATCTCTGTTGTCGCTTTATGGTGAGCGTCATTTCGGATACAAGCAATCTTATAGTGGATACGCTCCACTTTGCGTTTCTGCTTATACCAGTTATTTGATAGATACTCTTTCTTACTCAACACCTAAAGGATTGGGATTGTTAGACTATGCCCTTCATGGTTCATGTTTCCGTCCTTCTGAGATGGGTTTCTACACGTTCGATGAGTACCTTAATGTCAATCGGCTTACTGAGATAATCATCGCAACCTGCTTTGAGGATACGTTCTTTATCGCCAGACATCGCTGCAGCGGTTAGCGCGATAATCGGTATATCTACCCACGCCAGATTCGCTTTGATCCGTTTCGTTAAATCTTCGCCGCTTTGTCCGGGTAAAGCAATATCCATGAGAATCAACTGTGGTATTGCGTCTTCTAAACTGGCGAGTGCCTCGATAGCATCAGTCGCTTCCACAACTGTATAACCTTTTGATTGTAGGACAATCCGCACAACTTTTCGGTTCAACTCTTGGTCTTCAATTACCAAGATCCGCTTTGGCGTTTCTGTCTGTCCTTCAGCTGAAGGTGGGTTTTCAGTTTTCACGAGTTGTCCTCTGTTCAAACCAGCAGTAGCGTGGTATCAAGCCACTGGACCTTGGTTTCCTATGCCGTTTTATCAGATGTAGCGTCGGTGCCACCGTCTAATTGTTGCAGAGGGATTCTGAAAGTAAAATTGCTCCCTTTCCCTTCTTCGCTTTTGACGCTGATTTCACCGCCGTGCAATATGATAAGCCGGTGCGTCACTGCCAAACCGAGACCGGTTCCGCCATAACGCCGAGATTTTGAGGTATCAATCTGTGTAAATGGTGCAAAAAGTTTCGCCTGATCTGCTTCGGCAATACCTATACCCGTATCAATAACCTCGGCGCACAGTTCTGTCTCAGTGACTTTCAGCTGGGTCGTGACTTTTCCGCCTTCTGGGGTAAATTTTACTGCATTGGATAACAGATTGTAGAAGATTTGCTTAAATTTAACCCTGTCAGCTTCAATCATACAATTCCGGTTATAGGTCAAAGGTGAGGTCCAAATTCTTCTTTACAGCGAGCGCATTAATAATCGCGTTCACCTCTTCAACGGCTTCCACAATAGAAAATGTCTCCAATTGCAGCACCATTTTCCCGGCTTCAATTTTTGAAAGATCGAGAATGTCGTTAATCATCTCCAGCAGATGTTGACCACTAATATGAATATCATTGACGCATTCCTTCTGCTCGGCGTTGATACTTCCGACAAGTTCATCTCGCAGGATCTCAGCGAAACCGATAATCGCATTCAACGGTGTACGCAATTCATGGCTCATGTTTGCGAGGAAATCACTCTTCGCGCGACTCGCGTATTCGGCAGTCTCCTTGGCTTGTTGCATCACTTTTTGGGTTTTTATCCGCTCTGTAATATTCAGTGCCATACTAATGCCAAGATGTCTTTTATCCGGAAGTGCTCCAAGCAACGACGAACTAAACTCCCAAATCTGCCTTTCACCGGACTGGGTAATAATTACATACTCACCCTCTGCCACGCGTTCTGTGGAACGGTACAACTGTGCAAGATGTGCTTTAATTTCCTCAGCTTCCTGGCTATCCGCCTGCTCTAACCATTTTGAGATTGTAGGTATATCTTCGAGTGTGTACCCTGTTAATTCCGTCCATGCCCGGCTAATTTGCAGGACTTCTCCATCCTCGGCATGAATCATGATAGGCAGTGGCGCGTTCAGAACTGCTCGACGAAAACGTTCTTCACTATGCTGTACCTCAATTTCTGCTTGCTTTCGATCTGTGATATTCGTTGATGCCATCACGAATCCAACGAGTTCTCCGTCCTGCTGAATCGGACCGATGCAGGAAGCATACCAATATCCACTTATCAATCCCTGAATTTCATAAGTAGCAAGTTCACCGGTTTCGATTACCTTCGCGCAGGCCTCTTTAAACCGCTCGTGATGTTCTTCAGTGAGGAAATCAAAAACGCTTTTTCCAACGAGATCTTCAGGTTTTAATTCGAGGGTAGGCGGCAGTCGGTTGACAAATTGAAGACGATAATCAAGGTCGATCGTTGAGATAATATCCGGTACACTTTCAACAAGAGAACGCCAGTTCACTTCAGAATCACGAACTGCCTGTTGTGCGCGATAGTATTCGGTTATGTCTCGTGAAATGCCACATGTTCCTTTAATACGTCCATCTCTATCGAGAATCGGCACTTTCGTCGTTGATACCCACGTATCTTGTTCATTAGCGGGCCATGTCTCTTTTTCCTGTTTTCCTTCGATCGGTTTCCCGGACTCAATAACGTTTTGCTCGTCTTGGTATGCTTGTTGCGCATGTTCACGCGTAAAGAAATCAAAATCTGTTTTATGGACCGCATCTGCTGGATTATCTAAACCAAACTGGTCTGCCAAAGAACGGTTAATTCGGATGAACCGACTCTCCGTGTCTTTAAAGTAGATATGGTCCGGGGTATTTTCCATCAGCGTATGTAACAGATCCCCCTCTTGGACATGTTTGACCGCCAATTGCTGGAAGCGAGTTTCGCTCTCTTTCAATCTCGCTTCCAATCGCTTTTGCTGGCTAATGTCCGTTGCAACGAGGTAACAGAGTTGTTTTTCGGGAGCTTTTGTTACGCGCCACCTTAACCACTTGTAGGCTGCATCTTTGCACTGAAAGCGGTTTTCAAAGATAACACTGTCGCGTTCGCCTGTTTCAACCTTCTCAACTCTGTCGAGCGTTTGCTGTCTGTCATCTGGATGAACAAACATCCACCATTGCTGATTTTGGAGTTCCAACTCGGTGAATCCAAGTGTATCTTCCCAGACCGAGTTGAGGGGGACGAAGCTGCCGTCACAACTGATACACCCAAACATATCTGTGGAAATCTCCAAAAGACAGTGAGAATCGATGGATTCCCCTAATAATATGTGCTTGTGAGTTGCGTCCTTAAGCTTCATTTTTGCCTCCACAAGGTACGAGGTAGGAGTACTTTTCGACTTGTACGAGGTTTATCTTGTTACTAAAACTGCCCGGTTCGAGAGCTTGACAACAGTTTGTGTGGTACTTTGGAAAACAAGTTCGTACAACCTACCGTGATGGCTTGCGCTCAAAGCGATGAGATCGCAATCATTTTCCTCTGCATTTTCCAAGATATTTGTTACGGTAAAACCACGCGCCGTAAGGAAATCGGTTTGAACGTCATAGTATTTCAAGTATGCTTCCATCTGCTGCTTAAGCTGCGTTGCTTCGGGTTGTGTACTTGAAAGTGCGAGTCCAAAGATGCCAGCTTTAGTCAATTCCGCGATTTCTGCGACAAGTCCTAAAGCGTGGTCAGAATAGGTATCGCCATGATGTACGGCGAGAATTTTCCGTAAAAGTGTGCATTGTTCGTGCACGACGATAATGGGTCTGGTAATATGCTGTAGAACATCGTCAATTTGGTTCTGAATAAGTTTGAGTCGACGCTTTCTCACATCTTCAGGAAGTCCAACAACAACGAGGTCAGCGGAGTGCGCCTGTTCACATATCATCTGTCGCGGATTACCGGCGACAGCCTCAACGTGATAATCGAGAAAATCGTAGAGGGAGCATTCCGCTTCTGTTCGACGGAGCACAGTCGCTGCGACATCAGCATTTCCGCCATGATTGCTGTCTTGAAAGAAAACGCACGATAGATGTGTACCTAAAAGTACTGCCAATTGACCAGCGTACTCAAAGGCATTTTTTTCGTAATCCGTATCGCCGATGGCAACGAGGATATTTTTTATCATGAGGCACCCCCTTATCGGTGCAAGGCAGCTGAGTGTTACTTAGAAGGCATCTGTGTTAGCTTAACACAAGTTGTCTCGCGAACGCGCTACAATTAAACCTAAACTACGGATGGTGCAGCAAGGCGGTAACAGCGTCATCTTCGTTCTCAAAATTTTTGAAGACGGTGATCAATCGAGCCATGACAATGAGGTTTTTGACATGTTTGTTCACGTTAATCACCGCAATCTTCCCGCCGTGCGGACGAATGTCGGAATAAACTTTCATGAGCGCACCAAGACCAGAACTATCCATCCCGGTTACCTCTTTAAAGTCAAAAACCAATCTCGGTGGTGAAGTGCCCCCCGCAAGTGTCTCCGCTACGGTTTCCGAGATTTCCTTGATACTTGGGGTGATAATTCTACCACTCAGTTTAAATATAACGACCCCTTCTCTCTCAGACACGGTGATTGCCATAATTAACTCCTAAATACTACCGCCGGTTTGGGTTGTAGGCGCGTTCTCTCAATTGTGCTGATTAACCTCCGCTCGATAGACCAGAAACTGCAGCATCCTCGTCGTCAAAATGTTCAAAGATACTGACTAACCGGCTTCGGACAATCAGGTTTTTGATGTTTTTTCCAACATGGATGACACCGATACGACCATTCTTCCGCGTTGCAGCGACATGCGCACCCATTAGGGTACCGAGGCCCGAACTGTCCATCATAGTAACGCGCTCGAAGTTGATGAGGATACGTGGTTCATCGGAGGCATCTATTTGCGACGTGATAACGTCTCGTAATTCCGATACTGAAGCTCCCATTATTTTGCCGTTCGGTTCCAAAATTGCAACGCCATCTTGTTGGCGAATCGTAGTTGCCATGAATATTCTCCTTCTTTGCATGTGTTAGGAAACAGATAGTACCAACCCACTACTTTTATTCTACACTATTTTCAAATTATTTGTCAACTCTCAATTGTTAAGCGGCATTAGATTTCGTTTGTTTTTATTCCGAAAAATTGCTATAATTGCCGTTAAGTTCTCTATTAAACTGAAAGGCACTCAATGGATAACACATACAAACCACGAATCAAGGACCTTCCCGAAGACGAACGTCCACGCGAGAGACTCCGCAAATACGGCCCGGAAAACCTGAAAGATTCTGACCTTTTAGCCATCATCCTCAAGAGTGGCTTCAAAGGAACAACTGCTATTCAACTCGGTGAGCAGATTCTTGTGGCGTTTGAAGGGGATCTAAAACGGATGGCTGATAACAAATCCAAGCAATATGAGAAGATTAAAGGGGTTGGTGAAGCGAAAGCAGCACAAATCGTTGCAGCGTTTGAACTTGGAAAGCGATTGGCACGTTTCCACGCCGAGCGGGATAAGATTACCTCACCCAGCGATGTCGCCGACCTGATGATGTCTAAAATGCGCTACCTACAGAAGGAAATTGTCTGCGTCTTATGTCTTGATACCAAAGGCGGTGTGACAACCAAAGGTGTCGCCGGCGATCTTAGCAACGATTTAACTTGGGGCAAAAAGTTAGCAGAAGCAACAGTCTTTGAAGGGACGCTAAACGCCAGCGTCTTCCACCCACGCGAAATTTTTCGATTCGCGATTGAGGAATCCGCAAATTCAATCGTCCTCGTCCATAACCATCCATCTGGTGACCCCCAACCGAGTCAGGAAGACATCCGGGCAACAAAACAATTGATTGAGGCTGGCAATCAAATCGGGATTAAAGTATTAGATCACATCGTCATCGGCGACGGGATCTTTGTCAGTCTAAAGGAAGAGGGATTTATTTGAACGGTTCACTTTGCCTCACGTTGCCGAAGTGCCTCGTATAGCAGAACACCGGCTGCAACTGAAACGTTAAGCGACTCAATTTTCCCGAACATCGGTAGATGCACGAGATAGTCACATTGCTGTTTGACGAGTCGTCGGATGCCTTCCCCTTCGCTTCCTAACACGAGACATAACGGGACGCTAAAATCTGCATCGGTGTATAGGAGCGACGCATCCCCGGTAGCACCTGCGACCCAGATACCTGCTTTTTTAAGCGTGTCTACGGTGCGCGCAAGGTTCGTCACTTTGACAATAGGGATATAGGCAGATGCGCCTGCTGATGCTTTGTGGACGGCGGCTGTGATACCGACAGCACGGTTCTTTGGAATAATGACAGCGTCGGCATTCGCAGCGTCGGCAGTTCGGAGGATCGCCCCAAGATTCCTCGGATCCTGAACCCCGTCTAACATAATCAACAGCGCATCGCGCTTACTGTGTCGTACCTTCGCGAGTATTGATGACAAGTCACTATATTGCAGAGCCTTAACAAAAGCAATAACACCTTGGTGTGGCACAGACGGTTCAAGCCTATCTAATTCGCGCCGTGTGCAGTGTTTGAGGGGAATGCCTGCCCGTTCCGCCATCGTGATAATTTGGTGGATGCGCGAGTGCGTGCTTCCTTCGGCGATACAGATTTTTTCTACATCTTGAGACTCACTCTGTAGGCGTTCTATGACTGGGTTTCTGCCAACGATGTATTCAGGCATAGTTAAATGCGGAAGGGCGGATAAGATCTCCGCCCCTTGGAGTTAGTCTCCGCGGGACGAATTTAACATCGGGTCCACGCGGCGTGATTTTGATATCTGGGTCTGCCTCTTGGCATTGGACGCAGGTTATATCGCCAACGTTTGCATTTTCCATCCGCGGCGCGAGTTTCCCCAATTTAAACACGAAACCTAAAATGTCTGCCGCTGGGATTTTCCCATCACATGCACTGCAAGGGATCGCTTCCCCTGACTTGACTTTCGCTAAAAGTTCTGAAGCTTTCATAAGTTCCTTTCGTTTCAGAGCAACTCAATTGTCTACAGGAAGTAACGTTCCTTCTGCTTATCCGATTCGTACGCTTTGTACGCCTCTTGCGCCGTATCTACTTCGGAGACTTCGGCGATAGGCACATCCCACCAAGATTCGTAGCCTGGGACCTTTTCATAGTAATCCACATCAATCTTTACAACGGTTGTGTGCGCTGCTTCACGTGCCTCATGCAGGGCAGCTTTTAGACTCTGCAAGGTTGTCGCTTCAATCACTTTGGCACCGAGGCTCGCGGCATTCGCTGCAAGATCCACCGGTAAAAAATCACCGGAAAGTTCGCCGCTTTCTTCGTCCCGGTAACGGAAACGGGTGGCAAATCCCTGTGCACCAGTCGCACGAGATAACCCACCGATGCTACTATGTCCCTCATTATTGACGAGTACAATAATCAATTTGTAGCCTTCCTGAATAGATGTGATAATTTCCTGCGCTAACATCAGGTATGAACCATCGCCTACCATGACATAGACATCACGGCTCGGATCCGCCATTTTGATACCTAACCCACCGGCGATTTCATATCCCATACACGAGTAGCCGTATTCCAAATGGTACTGTTTCGGATTACGGGTACGCCACAACTTATGCAGATCACCCGGCAGGCTGCCCGCAGCACAAACCATAACATCTTCAGGACGCGAGAATTCATTAACCACGCCAATCACTTCGCTTTGGCTCGGCAAGGGACCGTGGCCGAGATGGTAAAGCCGATCTACCTCTTCCTCCCACTCGGCACTATTTTTCAATCTGTGCAGCATAAGCCGCGTCAACGCGATAATCTCCTACAGCGGTAGCAAGTTCCGCAAGCGTGACACGTGCATCTGCAACGAGGGGTAGCGCAGCATGCTTATAGGCATCAAATTCAGCGACATTAATATTGATAAAACGGACGTTGGGGTTCTGGAAAGCCGTTTTGGAAGCCGTCGTAAAATCACTTAAGCGCGTGCCGATGGCGATGACCAAGTCTGCCTCTCGCGCTGTGATATTTGCACCCGGCGTACCGGTCGCACCTATTGCGCCGAGATTCTGTGGATGATTATACGGTAGCGACCCTTTACCAGCGAAGGTTTCACCAACAGGGATACCTGTCTGCTCCACAAATTGCGCAAGTTGCGTTGTAGCTTCACTATAAATAACACCGCCACCGGCGATAATCAATGGGCAGCTGCTCTCACGAATCCACGCCGTTGCTCGATTCAACAAACCTTCGTCTGCACGAGGACGAGAGATGGTATAGACGCGTTTCTCAAAGAGTTCAGATGGATAGTCGTACGCCTCGGCTTGAACATCTTGTGGGAGTGCTAAAGTTACGGCACCTGTTTCTGCCTGAGATGTTAACACCCGCATCGCCTCTGGCAACGCTGTGATTATCTGTTCTGGGCGGTTAATTCGGTCCCAGTAGCGTGAAATTGGTTTGAAGCAATCGTTCACCGAATAATCTTGTGAACTCGGGGACTCCAGCTGCTGTAAAACTGGCGCGACTAAACGGGTCGAAAAAATGTCACCCGGTAATAAGAGAACAGGTAATCGGTTAATTGTCGCGCCAGCGGCACCGGTAATCATGTTCGTCGCACCTGGCCCGATAGAGGTCGTGCAAGCAAAGGCACGCAAACGGTTGTTCATCTTGGTAAATGCGGCAGCGGTATGCACCATTGATTGTTCATTCCGGGTCTGATAGAAGCGAAAGGTATCGGAATACTGGTGCAACGCTTGCCCGATCCCGGCAACATTTCCATGTCCGAAGATGCCGAACATCCCAGCGAAGAATTGGATTTCGTTCCCGTCTCTTTCAACGTATTGTTGTTGAAGAAATTGAACGATGGCTTGTCCCATCGTGAGTTTTCGTGTTTTCATGAAAATTGTTCTGCACTTTCCATATTGGAAAATGTTCTCCTTTGATAAAGTGGTGTATGGACTGCGGATAAAAATATCTAACCTGCCATATATGTCAGAATAATCGCGTTTACCATCCGCCGCGTTCAGCGACAAATTCATCAACTTCGGGCATTGTTGGCATAAAGTTAGCGCAACCGTGCCGTGTTACGACAATAGCACCAGTCGCATTGCCGAGACGGGCAGATTTCTCCCAACCCCAGCCACTGAGGTTCCCATAAATAAAACCGCTCGCGAAGGCATCTCCGGCACCGAGAGTATTGTAGACTTCAACAGGAAATGGTGCTCCGTGAATGACTTCACCGCTCACCAGATGGACATCTGCACCTTCAATACCGCGTTTCACTATTAGCGCATCTGGACCAGCACCCAAAAGCGTTTCAATAGCAACCACCATATCTCCCTCAATTGTAGGATTTGAAATTTGGGAGTGTTCAATTGTGAGTTGCGAAAGGTCCGTAAGTGTGGCTGCTTTGATCTCCTCTTCCGTGCCGATAGCAATATCAATATAACGTAACGCAGATCGGACAACAACACCGAACGCTCTCGGATCATGCCACTGATCTGCCCGAAAATCGAGGTCCAAAAAGACTTGGCAACCGACGGATTGTGCCTTCTCAGCAGCATAAAGCGTTGCGCTGCGACTCGGTTCTTTGCTCAAGCCAGTCCCGGATATCAACACCGCCCGGCTTTCAGTGATTGGCGCAGCGAGAACATCGTCAATAGTGAGTTCAATGTCCGCACAGTTATCACGGTAATAGATGAGTGGGAACCGGTCTGGCGGTTCAATACCGAGTACAACAGCACTCGTTCGGTGTTTAGGCTTTATAGGGGATAAACTGCGTTTCAACGCCTTCGTTCTTCAAGAACTTGAGTAGGAACTCTGCAACCGGATCCTCACCGACAGCCGTCAGTAGCACAGCCTGAAGCCCAAGTCGCTGAACACCGACGCTAATATTGGTAGGACACCCTCCGACGAAGGCACCGAAACTTTTAATGTCTGGAAACGCGGCACCGATGTCATTCGCGTAGAGATCTAAAGAACTCCGTCCGATTGTGAGAATATCGTATGATTTCATTTCAAAGCCGCCGCGTTTTTGAATTTCTGATGTTCCTCGGCAAATTTACGGGTTAAGAGGAAAGCATCATTTCCACATGCAATGAGTTGAACACCCAAGTTCAACCACTGTTCACCACTCTCAAAATCATTGACATAACAACCTAAAGCGATATCATGCGTCTGTGTAAGTTTGATAATTTGTTTTATAGCGTCTAAAAGTAGCGGATGGTCGAGTTCGCCAGAGATGCCCATAGATGTTGATAGATCATAGGGACCAATGAATACAACATCTAACTCACCAGTGGTGAGGATGTCATTTAAGTTTTCGACAGCTTTGACGGTTTCGATTTGCCCAATGGTGAGGATTTCCTGATTCGCGTTGCGTACGTATTCTCTGGTATCAAGTTTTGTGAAATCTCCATAATCGGTGTGTCCGATTCCGAATGCAACCCCTCGGTCGCCTTCGGGCGCGTATTTTGTCCACTGTTTTATTTTTTCGATATCGTTGCGAGATTCAACCCGGGGAATCATCACGCCAGTCGCACCAGCATCAAGTACCCGAGAGATAAAATGGCGTTCAAGGGCAGGCACACGAACAATACAAGGAAGATTTGAGCCGCGTGCGTTCCGAATTATGCGTCCAACGGCTTCTATGGAAAAGGAACTATGTTCCAAGTCTGCGATAATAAAGTCTGCGCCGGCACTCGCGAGGAGTGTTGCAATCGCGGAACCGCCAAATTCCAGTACAAAGGTCCCAACGAGCACCTCTCCACGCTTCAAAGATGTTTTCACGTAAGACAGTCCCTTCAATCAACAACCGGGATTTCTGAGATTAATTTTTGTGCTTCGCTAACCATTTTTGTTGGCGTAGACATTTTTTCACCGATTGCCAAGATCAACATGTAAAAGTCGTAAGCGGTTTGTAACTCGTTATTGAGGTGAGCACTTTCAGCGGCGTTGAAATAACAGACAGTTGCCATTCTGTGACACTCCTCGACAAGCGTGGGCATATTCACATAGCCATGATTGTAGGCGGCAAGGATATAAGATTTTCCTGCTTCTTCCCATGAACGTTGGAGTTCAAATTGCCGTGCAAGGCGGGTATAGTAAACCGCACCTCTTTTAGCGTTCTTTCTCGATCGACGCTGTTTCTCTGCAACTGTGTAAGCGAACCGAGCGCGCGTGTAGCAGTTGGCAACGAGCTCTAATTCGTCTTTCTTAACAAAATTGGCCGCCTGTTTTTGATAGAACTTACCTAATTTATTATAAAACGCGAGCCACTGTTGGGTGCGGCCTTGTTGTTGAAAAATCTGAATTTGTTGGAAGATATGAAGTGCTTCTTCTTCATGTGGATACTGAATATCACTATGAACTTGGTCGAGTAGGTATTCCGGGGACGCTTCCTCAATTACGAGTCGATAGCTGCCCGATGCCTTGACACGAGGTTGTATCGGCGTTACACCCGTCGGTTCTTCGGGGACTAATTTTTGATGCTCAAGCCATGTACGGAGGTCAGTACTTTCACCGTCCGGCAAGTTCTGAATGAGTGAGACGACTTCCTCTACAGTCGGATTTGCTGAGAGTGGCACATTTACCGTATTAAGTGTCTGAAACAAATTATCAGCAACTTTAGTTAAACCCTGATCGTCAATACAGAGGTGGCTTACCTTGTGAAGTTCAGCAAGTACGCTCGAATAGTCTCGGTTTTCTGCGTGGCGTATAGCACGCGTATAATGCCTTTCGACTTGAGCTAACAATTTTTCGCGTTTGGTATTTTCCTCTTTTTGGCGCCGCTGGAAAAATAGATTTTGATTCATCCGTTCTGCGTCTGCAAGCGACAGACGGAACGTTTTCCGGTAGCGTTCAAGTGCTTCTGCTAATCTTGGATTACTGGAATTGACGCTTGCATCAATAAGCTCCGAAGCCTGTTTGACGTACTCATCTTGCCGGATGCGATCCAATTCTTCGTACATCTCGGTAGCACTTTGATGGCGTTCTGAGAGTTGCCGATGGAGGGCTTTTTGTAAAAAGTGGCGGAGCACCTCCGGACATCTGTCAATTTCTTCTATCTCTCCGGCAGCTTTCTTTTTATCTATTTCTTTATTTTCACCTGAAAACGGAAAGCGCCCGGTTACGGCTTGATATAGGATGAGTCCTGTGGAGTAAAGGTCCGCTCGATAGTCATAAGATCCATAGGTTTGTTCGGGTGCCATGTAGCGTCGCGTGCCTGCCATGGTCTCAGCGAATTCGGTCGTCTCTCCAAAGATACGAGCGATGCTGAAGTCGGCAACTTTTGCCTCTTTGTCAATTGTGAGCAAGATATTTTGCGGTTTGATGTCCCGGTGCATAATCTTGTGAGCATGCGCTTCTCTCAGGCCGCGACAGATGTCCAAACCGATGTTGAGCGCATCCGTTAGCACGAGTGCACCTTCCTGCATGAGATCGTGAAGACTTTTCCCTTCAACAAATTCCATCACGATCCACGCGACGTAGTCGTCCTCGCCGGGTTCAACGGTATGAATGGAGACTATATTCGGATGCTTCCAAATTTTTGACATCGCTTGAAATTCGTTCAGCAAAAACTTCATTCTGCTTGCAGGATAGGCAGTTTTTGCTAAGGCTTTAATCGCAACGATTCGGTTTGTCATCTCTTCGCGGGCGCGAAAAACTGAGGAGAAGCCTCCTGAATTGAGAAATTCAAGCAATCTATATTTACCTAAGATTAATTGATCAATCTGCATAGCGGTATCTTACAAGTGAACAGTATATAATCCTTGGTAACAAGATTAACAAAATTAATACGAATTGTCAACACAAAAACACATTTTCAGCGGGTTTAAGCGCAATTAGTGTCTGAACGGGCGCGTTGTACCTCCTTGACAAGCTGCTCGGCTCTTTCTGTGAGTAGGGCAAATTCCCCGGCTGCAATCAATTGATTATTAACCAGCGCACTACCAACTCCCAAAGCAGTAGCACCAGCAGTGATAAACTCGGCGGCGTTTTCAGCGTTGATACCACCCGTTGGAACAAGCGGGATCTGGGGAAGCGGTGCTTTCACATCTTTTATATAGGCGGCACCGACACCACTCGATGGAAACACCTTGACATAATCTGCCCCGGTTTCCCATGCTGTCAAAATTTCTGTTGGTGTAAAGGCACCAGGGATAACGACTTTGCCGTAGCGGTTACAGATCTCAATGACATCCGGTTTTGTAACCGGGCTGACGATGAACTCCGCGCCTGCCAACATCACAGCGCGGGCTGTCTCTGCATCTAACACCGACCCGGCACCAACCAAAACGGCATCACCATACGCTGATGAAACATCGCTAATGACTTGTAACGCATTCGGTGTCGTCATCGTGACTTCAATCACGTTAACGCCACCCGCATGAATTGCTGCCGCTGTCTGAATCAATTCATCCGCGCTGTTGGCGCGAATAATAGCGACAATACCACATGTTTCGATCCGTTGCATCTGTTCTAATTTCGTCATAGACTTCCTCAAAATCAGCACCGCACATCAACCTTCACTCAGGTAATTGAGGCTAAAGGCACACAGTTTGCAGATAATGCCTTAAAAGTGGTGATATTTTTGTTGCGATTTGTCTGTCAATATGTTATAATTAAAGCAATGAAGCGAACAGATTACAGACTATCGCTAATTCAGTATCATTAATAGCAACTTTCGGTTCGCAAGCGTGCCAAAAATTGCTTTCAAAAAAAGAATGGAAGTTGTTCCACTACTCCCCTATCTAATCGGCTTGACAGGTTTACTTGTCCTCTCCGGCTTTTTCTCCGGCTCCGAGACGGCTTTATGCGCACTTACCCAAGTCCAAATTGAGCGGATCCGTATTGAAAAGGGCAGCGCGTCTGCGATCGTCAATTTCGTTGACAATCCGCGCAAATTGTTTATTACCGTTCTGCTCGGTAATAACCTTGTCAACGTCGCGTTCGCAATCCTCATGCTCTCGTTTATCGGGCGAATGCTTCCGCAACACCCCGAATCCATCCGCTTTGTCATAGCCTTAGTCCTCAATGTTTTCCTCATGCTCATTTTGGGTGAGATGACACCAAAGACTTATGCTATTAAACATGCGGAGTCTTTTGCGAAAATAACGGCACCGCTGTTGTGGGTATTTTCTGTTTTCATCTCCCCATTACGCGGGTTGCTGCGCAAAATCATTGACTTCCTCGTCCCGATATTTGGTGGACACCTACCGCCTACCGAACACCTCACAGCAACAGACTTTATAGAAATTCTCAATACTTACCACGAAGAAGCACTCCCCTCTGATGAACGCGAAATTGTTAGTAATATCCTCCAACTGCGTGACATCGAGGCAAGAGAGATTATGGTGCCGCGAACCGAAGTCGTCGCAGTCCCTACATCAAACACGATTCAAGCAATCTTAAAGCAAGCAAAAGAATCTGGGTTCTCACGGATTCCGGTTTATCAGGAGCAGATTGATAATATCTCTGGTATCTTCTATGTCAAAGATCTCGCGTTGTGGCGACACGCGGATGTGAATTCGCTCACGATTGATGCTTTTCTCGAAAAACGGGACCGGATTTCTGAAGATCCGTCCAGTGCCTCCCTCATTCGAGAACCTATCTTCGTTCTTGAGACCCGTAAAATCGGGATGTTGTTACTACAACTCACACGCGAAAAACCAAAATGGCGATTCTCCGAGATGAGTATGGCGGTGTTTCAGGAATTGTTACGACCGAAGACATCATTGAGCAGGTCGTCGGGGATATCGTTGACGAACATGACAGAGATGACGCTCCACCCGATTTTGTCAAACACTCTGAAGCACCCTTATTACTTGAAACTTCCGGACGCATGAGCATCAGGAAACTCAATCAGCAATTTGAACTAAAACTCAGCGAAGATGACGTGGACACCATTGGTGGCTATGTCTTTGGACTTTTCGGACGAATTCCCTCCGTCGGTGAATCCTATACAGATGAAGACGGCATTGAATTTGAAATTACCGCTATAGAAGGAAATGTTATCACAGGTTTGTTCATCAAAGTACCGGTTACCGATGAAACTGAAACGGAAGCTTAACAACAGATACCTGATACAAAACAATTGAGAATTTTTTTACTATCCCTCTTTTTAATCGGTGCGAGTAGTACAGGACAGATTATCGTACTCATTTCACTTGTACTCGCGGTGCTTATCTGCCTTGTACTTTCAGCCTTCTACTCCGGTTCGGAAACAGCACTCGTATCTGTTAATAAAATTCGGATTAACCAACTTGTTGAATCTAAAGATGCTAAAGCAAAAATCATTCACCGCTTGGTTGAATCTCCCGATAGAATGCTCGCGCTGACTTTAGCTGGAACAAAATCTTGCGAATGTTCTGATTTCACAATTCGGCGACCGATTGACTGCGAGAGTCTTCCCTGACGTTGAGAACCTACAAGGACCGATCGCTATCATCTGGGTAACCACGCTGCTCCTCATCTTCGGTGAAATTTTGCCGAAAACGATTTTTCGTGTTAAGGCAGATAGCCTCGTGCTACGCTATGCCTATCCGTTACAGATCTCTGAATCGGTATTAGCCCCTTTAATTTACCTTGTACAAACTTTGACAAAACTCATTGTCAGGATTGTGGACAGAGGTGCGAGTACACCGAGTCCCGATGCCCAACGTGAAGAGTTACGGCTACTCGCAACTATGGGTGAACGCTCAGGCAACCTACTTACAGACCAACGCCGGATGATTCACAGTCTACTTAACTTGCAAGATCGAACCGTCGAACAAGTCATGGTACCGCTTGTCGATATCGTCGCAATTGAAAGAAATACCAACCGCGAAGACTTTTTGCAAATCGCCACTGACGCTGGTTTTTCAAGAATCCCCGTCTACGAAGAACAGATTTATAACATCGTCGGGATTGTCAATCTCTTAGATGTTATTTACGATGATGTTGATTCAGAAACCGATTCAGATCCATACGAAAAAACGGACACCCCGCCTGCGACAATTGAGCCGTTCATCCGGACAGACTTGCACTTTGTGCCTGAATCGAAAAATATTAACGCACTTCTCAAAGAGATTCAAAATACCCGGCACACGATGGTATTCGCCGTCGATGAATATCGAGGCACTGTTGGACTCGTTACTGTTGAAGACCTTGTTGAAGAAATCGTCGGCGAATTCGCCGATGAACGTGATGTTCCCGACCTCATCCGTTTAATCGCACCTCATATCCTTGAATGCGACGCGAGAACCGAAGTCGATCTGCTTGAAGAATACTACGGACTTCCAATTCCGGAAGGTGACTACGAGACAGTGGCTGGCTATATCCTTGATCGGACCGGGACGATTCCAGAAACTGGCACTGAACTCAATTTAGGCGATGCCATCATCACTGTAACAGATGCCGATGAACGTGGTATCCGTAAAGTTCGCATCCGGCGAAGACTCGGACGTTTCACCTCTTAATCACGCTTGTGGACATAGCGACCCGTCCCCATACATACCGATACGCATAAGTCTTATTAGAGAATTCCAAGTGGCGGCATCACGACAATTTCTTCAGTCACCATACCGGGCGGTTGCTGACAGATGGAAACAACTGTATCTGCTACATGCTCAGGTTTAAGCATCTGTTCAAAGTCTGGATGTTCTGGAACGTCATCCCAAAACGGGGTATGCACCGAACCCGGTAGGACCGCAGTAACTCGAATATTCTGCTGACGGACCTCACTGGCTAAAACCTTTGTCAGTGCTAACGCGCCTGCTTTCGCTGCGCAATAAGCCGCTGAGGCTTCAAACGCAACCTTCGCTGCGATCGAAAGCACGTTAATAATCTGTCCACTGCCCTGCGCTAACATAGGTGGAAGCGCGTACTTCGCGCAGAGATAAACCGCCTTCAAATTGGAATTGAGACTGCATCCCAGTCGTCAGGTGCGAAATCAACGACCGGTCCGAAATAACCAACACCTGCGTTGTTGACCAAGATATCCACGTGTTGATAAACATCAAGCGTTCGTTCAATTAATCGCTGCGCGGCATCTACATCAGTGACATCCGTCGGAACAGCGAGTGCTTCAGCACCACTTTCTCTAAGGTCCGCTGCAACTTGTTCGAGCGTCTCATGTGTTCGGGCGGCGAGCACAACCTTCGCGCCTGCCCCGGCGAAAGCGGATGCAATTGCTTTACCAATCCCTTTTGACGCTCCGGTAACGACAGCAACCTTTCCGTCAAGTTTCACTATTTCTGGGGCATTCGGATGGCTCGAAGAAACCATGCTCACCTCTACATTCTATTACGTGTCTGAATCTGTTTACAATGACAAAAAAGTTAGGACTTGCGCAAACCTACTCCAGTTGCCGGCGCGGTCGGAAACCTCGCCATTTATCAAAGGCACCAGTGGGAGATTAGGATGCGTAAGTCCTGAAAAGATGTATTAGGATATTTGGACGCACCTCAAAAACTCCGCACGCGTTGAACTATCCTCGCGGAACGCTCCGCGCATGACATTCGTCGTCATTCTTGGTGCCTGCTTTTCCACGCCACGTGCCATCATACACAAGTGTTGTCCCTCCATCACAACCGCAACACCGCGCGGGTCAAGTGCAGTTTCGAGTGCCTCGGCGATCTCACGTGTGAGACGTTCTTGGACTTGCAACCGCCGGGAAAACATATCGACGATACGCGGGATTTTACTCAAACCTATAATCTGGTTCCGCGGGAGATACCCGACGTGACATTTGCCCCAAAAGGGAAGGATATGATGTTCACAGAGACTATAAAATTCGATCTCCTTCACGATTACCATTTCGTCGTAATCTTCTTCAAAGATCGCCGCATTCAAAATTTCATCAACGTTTTGATGGTAGCCGCTCGTCAAAAATTCCATCGCTTTCGCGGCACGGAGAGGCGTTTTCATCAAGCCCTGACGACTTGGGTCTTCGCCTAAATTCTCAATAATTTTGGTGAAGAGATCCTCTAATTCTGGGTTCGGAGGCTCCTGTTTAGGCTTCATTGTGTTTAAAGTGTATCTCCATTGCGCTGTTTAGCCGCACTTCTCGGATAAAATAGATTACGCGCCGTAGTAATCAAAATGATTTTTCGGCGTTTCTCTTAAGCGTAGGCGATGTAAAACTACCGGACGTAAATTCGGCACTAATACATCCCAAAGTACTTTGACGAAATTTTCCGAGGTCGGGTTAAGCGTCTCAAATTCAGGCGTATCAACATTGAGATGCTTGTAATCAAAGCGCGCATAGACCTGTTTTTGAACGATTTCATCAAGAAAATTCAGACCTGCAACCAGCCCGGTTCTCTTATCTACGTCTCCCTTTACGGTAACTTCAAGGACGTAGTTATGCCCATGTCCAGCCGGGTTATTGCACTTTCCGAAGATGTCTTGATTTTCCTCGTCACTGAGCACGTGGCTATGTAAGCGGTGGGCTGCGCTAAACTCGTAAGCCTTGGTCAGATAAACCATCGGTCCGTCCCCATAATAATCGGCAAAATTGGACGTGCTCTCGTAGAGTCGCACTCTGTGCAACATCTCCTCTGGCAGAGAAGGCACGAGTCGTTGCCAAATCTCCATCGTGATGTTCTCACACGTCGGTTGCAGGTGCGGATTTTTCGCGAAAACTGGGTGTTGACGGTTCAGATGCTTGTGATCGTAATTGGCAAGTACTTCCGTCTTCAACAAGGCATCCAACGTTACCAGATTGATAACCATGCCGTCATCCGCATCTACATCGCCCTTCACCATCACTTCAAGCACATAGTTATGTCCGTGGCTATTTGGATTTGCAGCAGCACCGAACAACGCAAAATTCTCGGCATCGCCCAATTCAGGGATACGATTGTAATGTGATGCTTCAAACGCGGTCTGCCGGGTTAGGTAATACATCGGTTTTTGCGTCACTATCTTGCATACCTGCGTATTTATAGGTTATCCCGCTGAGGTGTCACAAGTTCATCGCCTACAGATTCATATTGGACTGCCATAAGCCATTCGCCTGTTCCGCGTATCTGGACGTTGCACTTTTTCAGCCACTCGACTAAGGCAACGCGGTCACGTGCTTCCCACTCACAGACCATTCTGCCGGACAGCGTATCACACAAGACTCGGATATTACTAACATCGGTGTTTTCTTCTTCTTTGAACCGCTTCAGCAGTCGCGCCACATCTTGGCGAGTCATGCAGGCAATAGCATGGGCAGAAACGAATTTAGGCATATTTTTTCCAGGCTATCTCATAAATTGTGGGAGGAACCTTGTAAGCTCAATTTACAATATGAGATATTATAGGACTTTTATCTCATAAACAGGTTCGGGCGAGACACAAGTGCCTCGCCGAACAAAACTGTATTTATGAGATAGACGCTACAAGTTAAATCGCGTGCGATGGGGGCACCAACAAGATTTCCCCATTCCGTCCAACTGCCATCGTAGTTGCGGACTTTCTCATAACCGAGTAGATACTTCAGCACAAACCCACGTATGCGATGAACGTTCGCCGATACGGCAGTAGGCAACCGTCTCTTTACTATTATCAACGCCTGCGCCGCCGTAGATGGCTTCCAATTCGTCGTGCGATTTAAAGGTGCCGTCTTCAGCAACAGCAGTCGCCCACGGGATGTTCGCTGCGCCGGGGATATGTCCGCCGCGTTGCGCGGTCTCACTCATCCCAGGTGGTGCGATGACTTCGCCAGAGAATTCGGCGGGTGAACGGACATCTACAAGATTAACAATGCTTTGTCCAAGTGTGTCGCGAACGTTAACCGCTGTGGCACGGACATTGTCATCAGGAAATTTCGCCTGATACCCTGTACTGGGATAATCTGGAACATCGGTGACAAGCTCTCTGCCTTCATCAATCCATTTTTGGCGACCGCCGTTCATCACCTTCAACAGGCTTTCATCGTGTTCGTAGTAGCGGAATTGCCATAAAGCGTACGTTGCGAACCAGTTGTTATTATCGCCATAGAAAATAACGGTGGTATCATTAGCAATACCGCTGTCGTTGCAGAGTGCTTCAAATTGATCTTTTGTAAGAATATCGCGGCGAATTTGGTCACATAGTTGTGTCTGCCAATTCAGTCCGACTGCACCAGCGATATGTCCTTCAGCATAAGCAGACGTATCAACATCAACCTCAAGGAGCCGGATACCGGCATCACCGCCGTGTGCGGCTACCCATTCTGTACTCACCAAAACATCAGGATTAGCGTAATCAGCCATTTCTATTTTAATCCCCCTTGTTCTTTTTCAGGCTTGCAACACAAGAAATTTGCAAGCTGCGTCCTATTGACAAATGAAATAGTACTTCCTTATATTATACATTTCTAAGGGCAATTTGTCAAATGGAGATGCGGTTTTACGACTATCTTGCTTGTTTTTGCGCAATTTGTCAAGTTTTTTTCTGACATCGTAGGTGCTACGAGAAGATGATTAGGAAAATTACGCTGTCCTATGGGACTTAATCACAGAACGCAACTTTGTTCTACACAGAGGTCGTCTTAAGAAAAAAGTTAAAGAGGAAGTATGGTAATTGAGAGGGCACCAGTGAGTGCGGTTGGAAGCTGCACTCACTGGATATAAGGATGGTTTCTGGGTAGGATTAGAAACCACATCTATCTTACTTTGGGTGAGGCGAGGTTAAAAACCTCGCCAATGATGAGTCTACCAGATTCGCGTGAGTCCTGACATAACAGCATCACAACCGATTTGCGGCATTCGGTACGGACTGCGGGACACTATCTGCCTCTCCATCGGTAAGGGCTTCTGCTGGGATGTAGTTGCTGTAATCCGAGATACTTCCGTGTGTTACCGCGTAGACAACTATGTTGATGAATTGTCTCGCAGCAGCAGGTGCGAATTCATCTAAAAATCTTATTCCGGTCTTGGTAGTGACCGAAGAACGGTTTCTGTACTGCGCCGTCCATCACGTGTATCATCGCTTCTGTATCAACGAGAATCGCGAGTCGACCGTCTATGAAAACACCTCGTAACTGGCTATAGGGACCGTGATGGAGAGTCGTGCTCCCAATCTTCCGGACAGGAAAACGCAGGGGTCCATTCAACTCATAGAAACTGTTGTAAACCTCGTGGTCACGAGGAATAGTCGTCAGGTGATATTCAGGCAGAACTTGACGCAAGACGCGCCGTGCAGGACGCATCGCCTCTTCCGTATTTCCGTGCGTGGGCATATAGATAAACCCGCCACGATTGATGACATACTCACGGATGCGTTGAATTTCCCGTTCGTTGTACGCTTGAGAACCGCGAACCTGCCAAACAGCGTTATTGGCAAGGAGAGACGTATTCTGCGGTCCTAACACGGAACCGGAAACAGGTTCCATAAAGATAACAGGCGACTCAAAAAACGCCGCATCGGTAATTTGGACTGCGTCAACAAGTTGTGTCTGGATGCCGGTTTGTTCATTCAGCGACCTGACTAAGTAGGGCAGACCTGCCCCAAATCGGAGATGTCCGATACCGCTGCCTCATATATCAAGGTTCGGATGCAGCGGATCATCAAGACGGACGAGGTTGAGTCTACCAAGGATCTCTTTGCCGCGACCTTGAATAATAGCACCCGGACTCCCCTTCGGGAGCGGTGGTATACCGTTACCGAGCACAATGTTCTCCGTCACGTCTGACAACGAAGCGTTGATATTCGCAACACCCGCACCTTCCACAAGCGAGTCTAACCCAGCATGGTTTTGGCCGCGACCTTGTGTGATACCTACTTCGGAACCGAAAGCACCACGTCCGGTACCGGTCCCTAAATTATCACCGATGCCTGTACCAATGCCGTCTGTTGTTAAGCCGCTGCTACGCAATCCGGCGGTAGGCAGCGCAGCCGATGTTGTCGGGAGCACTGCGGCGGTTGACAGCGGTTCTGTGGTGTGCTGGAGCACGGAAGAACTGTTGGAAACGTTAACCTGTTGCGTCCTTAGTGCAGCTGGTGAACCTGCGGTCAGTGGTGCAGTAGGTGCTGCAGCCATGGACGTTTTTACAGTGCGCGTTGTGCGACGTGGTGTCGCTTCAGTTTGGGGCACTACCTTCAAATCTGGAACTGGGGTTGCTACAACAACGGGTTTAGAGATAGGATCCCTTTCGGCTGCTTGTGGTGGTGTAACGATGAAAAAACTCACATCAATGGCATCTTGTGCCTTCTGCTGATTGGACGAGATAGCGACGTACCCTACAACATGCGAGACAGAAGTGTAGGACAAGCGACACCATCCACGCCAGAGGTATCCGACGCGATTTCATGATACGCACCTCCTATGTACAGGCCATCTCATAAATTGTGGGAGAAGCTATGTAATCCCAATTTACAGATTTATAATACCTGCACTCGGTGTTGATTTGAACAAATTCGGATTCACGAAATACTCTTTAGTTAATCGTTAGCAATTGTTATATCTGATTGCTACTATAGTAGCAATTTACACATTATTTGCCAAGAGAAATTTATTTTCCCCCGTGGACCTACCTAATGGTTGAAGCAATTTTCATGCCAAAAGCGACTTGCTTGTGAGATCACGTCCAGAATAAGACTTCTTGCTGATTCCGCCTGATGAAATGGCTCTCCGTCGTCCAATTTCTGGACAGTTTTGTTCAAAAATCAAGTTTCAAATGATACCGAAAAGGACAAGTGCAGCTACATCCCAAACCAATACCGGCATTTAATCAGGAAAATGTTCTTCCCTTCATCCGTGAAGCTGCTTCGTAAACGATGCAATGGACGAAACTCAAGGTCTGCCCCTCTAACATCCTCTAACTCAACCGCACGCGATTGAGACCAAACCAAAAACAGCGTACTCCCAGGACGGAATTCCCAGCGAAGGACGGCGTTACCTCTCAACGAACGCATGTGGAAATCGGGGTTCCGCTTCAGCGGATACGGTTTGAATTGATAAGACTTCGGCTCGACTAACTCCTTGAAGTCCGTATAGTCTCCGATGGTAATGAAGGGTTGCACGTAGAATTGGAGACTCAACGTCGGGGTAAAACTAATATTCGCGCGCGTCGTAAAGTCGAGCGTCTGGCTCGTTAATTCACCATAGACGTAGTGCTTTTCGATGTGTCCATTGATATTTTCTTCGACTAACTCGATCCACTGTGCATCGTCAATCCGGTAACGATACATCGGTCCAATGCTAAACTCAATGTTCGAGACAGGACGAATTTTCAGGCGGAGACTGACCTCTTTTTCAGAAGTTTTGTTATCATCGTCCCATGCGAAGATCGGATTCAGTTCAAGCTGAAACATTTTACGGCTATCGGTAGAAAGTCGGGTAAAGATCCACCAGCCTGGCGGATTTTTGATAAGGGCACCACCGCGTAGGACATCACCATCATTGAAAGATTCTAAATTTCTGCCCACCCACAGGTCGTATTCCCAATAGTTTTTCAGTTTGCCATCTGTCCAGATCTCGGAGTAGCGACCGATGCTAACGCCGTCATAATTCCATTCCCGCCAACCGTAGAACCCTAAACTTACTTCTCGGAAGATGCTAAACGGATGCTCTTTCTTGATGATGAAGTCATGGAAACCTCTCATCATATCGCCGCGCCGAGCATAGCCTATGTCATTTATTTCTAACTCTGGAGAGAGCACGTTAAAATTGGTATAAAGTCTCCACCAACCCCCCTGTTTCTGAAATACGATGTGCGCAAGATAACCCGACTTACGCGCCCCAAGTTCTCCCGCTTGACTCGCCGCTACCATTCCGCTTATCTGGTACCGTTCCTTCGCAAACTTCAAGCCCCAATCAAGACCTCCTACATAAGCAGCGTTAGAAGTCTGTCGATTTACTGCCGTCGTTATCAGTCCGACGCGAGAATTCCCTTCTAATACATCTTGTGTCACTCTGCCGACAAAGTAATTTGTGAGCGGTTCAATGAGGTAATCGCTGCTCTTGCCTTTTTCCTTAATCTGCGCATACTCCGGTGCCGTGACAACCTCCATGATACCGAAGGAGGTGCCGCTATTGGTTCTTCCAACGATTTTGGCAGCACCCAGAATGGTTGTCGCTTCTGGACGACTCAGTTCAGTCGTACCCTCTGGGATCTCAAAATGCCCCGGTTGCCGCCCGATCCGTCGCGAGTAAAAGAATTGATTTTCTCCCTCTCCGAAGTTAAAAATAGATGCCCCTTTGACAAAAAAGGGTCTGCGTTCCTCAAAATACTCTTCATAGGCAGAGAGATTCAAAGTAGCAGGGTCCGCCTCCACCTGTCCAAAGTCGGGGTTGATAGTGGCGTTGAGGGTTGTCCCAGTGGTAATTCCATACTGGACATCGCCGCCAACATTTCCCCACAAATCAGTCTCGCTATTCAGCGTTGTTCTACCCATAGTGTATGGGATCAATTCCAAATGCCGAGAGGGGTGAATATTCTCTATCCCTACTAAATCACCAAAATTCGATATCCAACCCGGTTCACTCTTCTTAACCAAACGCCAATGGGCGCGCTCTTTCCTACGGCTAATCTCTCTTTCGACCTGTAGTCCCCACGTGTATTTGTCTTTCGGAGAAAAACGGAACATATAAAACGGGATTTTACATTCTACCGCCCATCCATCTTTGTGGATACGGGTCTTTGTCTCCCAGACACCGTCCCACGTGCTGTTCCAACCGTCCCGACCACCACCTCCAACAATACCGTCTATCACGGAACCGGAGGGATAGACAGTAAACGAGAAGCCACGCTGCCGATTGTAGTGTGGGTCAAGGATAATCTGGATTTTATCGGATTCAACGTAATCGTCCCGCCTGACGAGGCGAGAAACGATTTTATCGGGTTCACTGTCATAGCATACGATTCCAAAATAGATTGCTTCGTCGTCGTAGGCGACTTGGAATGTGGTGTGTTCAGATACGGGTTCCCCTTCATCGGGATCGCGTTGACGAAAGCCTTCGTGGAGTGGTGCGGTTTGCCAGATGTCATCGTCTAAAATCCCGTCTAACTGTGGTGGTGTGTTGGTGATTCGGATGGCAGTCGCAATCCTATGCGCGGATTCTGTTTCTGTTTCAGCCTGCGCTACACTTGAGGGTTGTAACGCCAAAAATACCGCGAACAACACCCAAACGCGCAAGAAGTCTGATTCGATTTTCAATTATTGCTCCCAATTTCTGCGGAGTTATACCAAATTAACTTGATTAGAAGTCTTGGCTCATGTCAAGAGTAAGTGCTTTTGACGAGTTTTGATATAAAATCGACAGAGACAG